GAGCCCCTCACTGGTTTTTATTCACATCTCAGGCATCAGAAAATACAGCACATCAAAAAGCTTCAAAGAGAGAGTCAAGGAGTTTCTTTAACCGCATGATTGAACTCCCACTACATCCTGTTTACAGCACTTCATAATTTTACCGCTGTTAGTATATGACTGTAGGGATGGGACATCATGCTGTGTCCAGTGAGTATTGTACTCAGGGCCAGCAGTGCGGCTTCGCTTTTTCCCGGATCACTCTGTCCCTAGTGCCTGGCACGTCTAACCCACAGGCACCTTATTGAATAGCCCTGCCCTGTGCAGCTGAATTAAGGTCTACCAAATGGAAGGTTCTTGCTTTGACCTGGCCCTGAGCACTATGGGAAAAGCAGCACACATCAGGGAAAGCCTGCTAGTGGTTAGAGCAGTCAAATTCTTAGAGGTCAACGAGAAAGTAAAGCCCGCAGAGACGTAACTGAACTACCCACCCTAGACCCCCACTCGCCAGGCTCTGGCTGCCTTCCATTAGGAAGAGTAGCTTTCTCTTGTCCTCTGCTTGACCTGAATTCTAACATTCCCGCTGCAACCAAATGCAACCTTCCTGTCTTTACTTCCCCAGGGCTTGCTCTGGGGGATTCCAGCATCGGCACTGACCCTCCAGAGTAGCTTCCAGCTGGCCCCCAGGAGGTTATTTTTCCTTATTTACTTGCTTGCCCTGCACCACATGCTAGTCACGTGCCTCTCACTGTCTGTGCTCCTCAGATGGAGTGCACACAGCCTTGGGCTTCAGGCTAGGTTCAAATTCTCCTGTAACCCTGGGGAAGGCGCTTAATCTCTCAATCTCAGTTTCCTTATTTGAAAAATGGGCTTAATAATATTACCTTCAAAGAATTACTATTGGCTTGGTGCCCATAGCACAGTGGTTATGGCGCTGGCCACATACACAGAGGTTGACGGGTTCTAACCCAGCCCAGGCCTGCTAAACAACAATGACAACTGCAACAGAAAAATAGCTGGGCGTTGTGGCGGGCACCTGTAGTCGCTAGTACATGGGAAGGTGAAGCAAGAGAATCTTTTGAGCCCAAGGGTTTGAGGTTGCTGTGAGCTGTGACGCCATGGTACTCTACCAAAGGTGACATGGTGAGACTGTGTCTCAAAAAAAGAAAAAAAACAGAGTTACTATAAAGGTTAAAT